AAAAACAACTAGGATACGAAAAAAAAAAAACAAACATGTCTAATTCAGACTCTTCAGAGATCCTACCTTTTTCTAAGGATCTTGATCCCGATTCCAATGCACTTCCAGAGGAAGCGTCAAACTCCTCAAGTCACCGTCGCCTCAGTTCTCGTCTGAGCGCCCGCAGCGGCTCTCGCACAGCAGAGGCAGAATTCCTCGTCGCCCATCTCCGCAAGCAGGGCATCACCCCAGCCCAAGATCTCCTGCTTTCCCATCTTCGTGAGCTGTCGGACCAAGCCTCCGGCGCGGTCTCCCAGCCCAGGCCAGCAGCTCCAGCCAGCCCCCCCGGAAGAGGGCGAGGGCGCTCTCGCGGCCGCGGGGGCAAAAGGTCTAAAAAAGCGAGTCCTCCAGGAGCTGGCTCGGCCAAGAAATCCTCCACTCCTCAGGCTCGCTCCAGCGAGCGCTCAGCGCCGCCCAGCCCAGCGCCGCTCAGCCCGGGAGCTCCGGCACTCAGCCCCTCTTCGATGGCAGCCTAGTCAACACACTGCAATCTCTGGCAAGTTCTATGCTCCTAATCGACGCTCGCCTCCAGTCCATGGAGAGAGGCCAGGCCGGAGCTTCAACCTCTGCGGCGGCCCGCCGGGTCAGGATTTTGCATTAGGCACGGTAGTTCCTTCTCACTCTCTGGCTTCCGCCCCCCCGGCTCCTCCCTCAGGTAGGCCCTACATTCCCCAAGCCGCTAACATCTCCTCACGGCTCAGAGCTAAGATCCTCGACGGGAAAGACATTAATTTAGTCAGCCTTATTCTGCCGTCCCCGGAGTGCGACAAAGCCATCGCCTCGGGAGGAAGCATTACTGCGGTATTTAAATCTGCAGACCCCGGCTCCTCAAAGACCTTTCTATAGGGCAATTTCTGGTAGCTTTTAGCATCTTCCGTGATGCCCTCTGCGCAGTTTACCCTGAAAGGAGAGTGGAGTTAGAAGCTTATCTGGCCATGATCGGCGATCTTCACATCAAATACGGGAAATCCGTGTTTTACCAATACCATAAAAGCTTCTCTAGCAAAGCAGCGCTGCACTTAGCTCATTGTAACATCCGCCTGGACTGGTCCGTGCTGGATACCGAGCTGCTCGTTATGGCTACCGGCGGGCAACAAGTCGTCTCGTGCATCAGTTGCGGAGCGCAGGGCCACACCTCTCTGCTCTGCCCTTCAGTGCCTCTCTCCGGGTCTAGCGTTTTCCCCACGCAGTATTCTGGGAACAATAAACCAAACCGTCAGGTGATCAAACAAGGGGATAATAAGATTTGCGTTTCTTTTAATGAGAACGTGTGTTCCTACCCTCATTGTACTTTTCTTCATATTTGCAGTACCTGCAGGGATGCTCACCCGAGGTCAGTTTGCCCAAGGCGCCGGCCCCCCTTCCCGCGCCAGAATCAACTTGGTGGAAAAACCTCTTAAAACATCACCCCTCAACTTCCATTAACACCACACATTTAGCAGCTGCGCTTTCGACTCACCCAAATCCCGTGTTCGTTGATTATCTTTTGTCAGGGCTATCTCAAGGGTTCAGGGTAGGGGTCCTTTCCCCCCCCTCAGTGACTTTAGTGGCAAAAAACCTGCAGTCAGCCACCAAAGAACCCACCATAGTCTCTCAGTTCATTCAAAAAGAGCTCAACAAAGGATCGCTACACGCAAATACTCTGAGAAGAAAAGGCTCATCTTCGAACTGTCCGCTCCTCGCGCTGGCCCGTTTTGCAGCATCAATAGCCTTATTCCCTCAGAGTATTTTTCTCTTCATTACGCTTCAGTTGATAATGCCATCAAGCTCATCAAATTCGCAGGGCAAGGAGCGTGGCTCTCCAAAGCAGACATTACTGACGCGTTCAAAATAATTCCCATTCACCCATCTCAGTGGCATATGTTCGGTATCAGATGGGAGTCCAAATTCTACTTCGCTGTCCGTTTAACATTCGGGTGCAGAAGTAGCCCTTAGATCTTTAATTCTTTTTCCGAAGCCCTCTGCTGGATCCTCCTGAACATCGTCAGAATCCCCTCCGTCCTGCATCTATTGGATGATTTCCTCCTCATAGATCCCCCTCGGGACAACTCAGGCGCCTCTCTAGCAAAACTCAAACTATGCTTTCAGGAGTTAGGTGTTCCCCTCTCAGGAGAGAAAACGCTAGGTCCCACCACACGCCTGGAGTTTTTGGGCATTACACTCGACTCCGTAGACATGGAAGCCTCTCTCCCCACGGACAAACTGCAGTGCATTCACAACATTACAAAGTCCTGTGAGCAACAAGTTATCACCAAGCAGCAGCTGCTCTCCCTGCTCGGGCACCTCAACTTCGCCATGCGTATTATCCCTCAGGGGCGCTCTTTTATTTCCCGGCTCCTGGATACAGCGTCGGCTGTAGAAAACCTGCATGACCACGTCTTCTTAGATGAAGGCTGCCGCTCTGACCTGCGGTTCTGTTCCCTCCTGCTCGCCCACTGGAATGGCGTCACCTTCTTCTACGACGACCTCGTGTACTCCTCCGACTCCTTGAGATTCTTCACGGACGCTGCCCCATCCGTGGGTTTTGGGGGTTTCTTTCAGGGAGAGTGGTTTGCAGGCTCATGGCCTCCGGCATTCCCCAGCCATGCCTCTTCCTCCGCTCTGCATGAGATCTTTCCGATCGCTGTTGCCTGCCACGTGTGGGGTCACCTCTGGCCCCGGCAGCGGATCTCAGTACTCTGTGACAACCAATCAGTGGTCGGAATTATTAATAAAGCGCGCTCCCCGTGCCGTGACATCATGCCGTTCATGAGAAGCATCACGTGGTCTTCCATCACCCACAACTTTCTCATCTCCGCTCGTCACGTTCCCGGCCACCTCAACTCAGTGGCTGATTCCCTCTCGTTTCCACTTCCAGAAATTCCGGAACCTCTGCCCAGAAGCCAGCGCTCAACCCGTCAGGATTCCTCCCCTGCATCTTCTCTCTCTCTTCTGAATAGAAGCCCCCTAGCAAGGCGAAT